ATACAGTATATAAAATTTTAATATATTTTTTTTTGCTTTTTGCTTTTTGCATAAAAAAAAAATTTCGAATCTCAATTAAGCATGTCTGTACTTAAGTTAAACTTATTTACTTAATAAAAATATAAACAAAATTAAATTACCACGCACACTATTTACGTAAAGTAAGCAAATAATAAAATGGAGCTCAACTTTCATTGTTTTTGCAATTGATTTTTTGTCATTTGCCGCCTTTACCACTTTTTATCTACTAAATTTCTACTAATATTTCGCCAATTTGCAAATATCTCAGTGTTGCTTTGCCTCACGCGGAAGCTAACACTTAACATTATTTATTAGATTTTATTTACTCTCTCTGGTTTTTGCGCTCGACTACTTTGTTTTTGTAAATGTATAAACTCTTACATTTTACTTCGCCTGYTGCTTACTATTTCCGTTATACTTAGTTAATAATATTTGCATGTAAAAACATATTTAAGTGTATATATGCTCTTGTATATATTTTTATTTGTTTTTGTTTTTGTTGTTTTTTGCTTTATTTGCAATTACTTAACTACCATAATATATATTGTGTCCTTTGCTTTGTGCATTTCTGTCCATATTATTGTTGTAAAAATACGCTTAACACATCAGCTTCTTTAAACAAATACAATAACAATGTGCGCTGAGTTTAACTAATTCGCCGCTTTTTGTTTTTGCATAGCTGCCACTTGTCTTACATACAAGTGTGTGTGTGTGTATTCACTTATTGCTGCGATTGCTTTTGTTCACTGCTGCTCTTGCTATTGCCTCACATACACTATTGTTGTTGCTATWTTATTCTACATTTATATAAACTTCTTCATATGCTCAATGATTGGGTAACTCCGTTAATGTTATGTCATATAAATCATCTTCGATCTGTTGCACTTCCAGCAGAAATATATCTTCATTGCAATAATACGAAATCATGTCATCATCAATTTTCGCAGTAATCCTATGTAGAGAATTGAAAAAGAAATAGAAGAGAAAAACGCATTTGATTAGAAAATATGTCAAAAATAATAATTTAGAATGTATATATTTTTTACTTTAAGGATGCTACTAACTTTTGGATAGTGGGCATAGATAGGGGGTTCGACATGGCATTGAGACGTACGTATGACTAGTTGGCCAAACGTTAAGACACAAGATAAGATTTGGAGTTGTTGAAGGTCGCTAAAATGCCGTTAAAGTGTCCCCTGCTCAATAAAATTCAAAACTTTTCACTAGCACAACATTATGAAAATATAAGGTACTARCTTATCTTGCCTATATACATATACCTAGCTTCTGTTGTCTAAAAATAATATCTGTCAACTTGTGCAATATCTTTGGAGACGCTTATAGCATAATATACCGCTATATTAATTGAAGAGCTTTACATGAGAAGCATTACGCATAATTGAAAAGTTAGTTAGTTTAGACCTTGCTTTGTCAACCAAAAAATATTGCTTTACATTTTTATAAGAAAATTCTTTAAGATYTTTGTTCAACAGATGGAACTTTGTTTGAATTTATTATGAATTTATCAAAGATTATATAGCAATTAAAAATGTATAAGGTAATAACTTTATTGGCGCAAAGCTTGAGAAAAGCGTGYCGCTCACTAGCTTTTACCAAATAATATGATATGTATAGATCTCTTCTTTATTTATAAATGTGAAATTTATATGTTAATTCTGATTTGAGATTTTGTTTAAAAAATGAGAACCATTTGTTTAAAAAGTCATCATCGTAAGAAAAGTAAAGATTTACAAAGAAAAATTYCAATAAAAAATTAGATTAAAATGTATGCTTCAATTTCAAAATTGCTTATGAAGATCGTCATCAGCGACAAATCAGTAATGGCTTATGGTTGGTTATTTTGGATGATGCTCTGCAGTTTTGCCTTCTATTAACGGCGTGGTGAAACATCTTCAATTGAGGCACCGGATCTTTTAGCTTCATTATTTGAGGGAAAGAAATCGAAGGACAAATACAGACGACACAAAGTACGAGGTTTTAACCACACTTTTGTGATTGTTTTGATTTGGTTTCACAAAGGTATTTCAAAAATTAATTACGTCTGCGAAATCAAGGTCTATTTTCATACAAATTTCTATGTAGAACGAAATCAAATGGATTAGCTTGGGTTAGGTTTGTCTGGTAGATCAATGAGCCACGCAAAAACCAGTTTTGATCCTTTGCTGTACCAGATGGAGATCAGTTACTAGGTTCATGAGGAGTAGTCAGCTTTTAGGATGCCTGCGCTTGACGCGAATGTTAACAGACTCTGCAGCCTCACTATTGATACCTCCTCCATACTATGGGAACACCGAATGCTTACAGCGAATTTTAAGAGACTCTGAGTCTACACTATCGATATTTCTTCCAGTGTATCATACCGTGCGGATCACAGATGCCTTCAGCATAGTCTCGCAAAGTGGACAAGATATAACAAAATCAAATAAGTAAGCAGTCAATGAAGCTTTTGAGGCAAGCTTTGTTTTATAATAAACACTGAGTATCGGTTTCGATGAAATACGCAGCAAGACGTAGCGCTAGTTTCCAATATTTTTTGCGATTTCCCATAATAAAAAAAAAATTTWAAAATAAATTACGCCTGACCTTTCCAACGGGGTGTAAGAATAGCATAAATATATATTTTTTATTGAAACAATTATTCAGCTGTYACATCGATTAATATCATCCGGTGGTTAGACCCTGGTATTAGTCGTTAATTACATTAARTGAGCGAAAAATCGTTAAGTGCGAAATGAAACTAGAAACCCTCGCCTGAAGTCTAATCCACAAATGCAATTATTTAACCATTTAATTTTCATGACATAATAATTATGCAAATACTTTATATTATTAGAAATTATGGCAAAATAAATTAATAGCGGTGATGTGTGTAAGATATATTTAGCATACCCACTATATAGTTAAATTTTTAATTATTTTTAATTACATAAATCGTTAAGTTTACGCGCGCCATATTAACGGTAAAGTTAAAATAATAAAATACGGTTTTTATTTGAGGTGCAAAAACACATTGAATGAGATGCTGAGGTGTATTGGTGCGGTATATTTTTTAATAAATTTTTGCTACTTCAATTTTYGCTCGTTGAGTGTTGTTTTTGTGAAAATAAAAGATTCAAATAAACTATATTTAACTACACAAATATGTCATGCGTGCTATGTGGTATTGTAGATATGTATGTTTTGTATTTTGTATTTGGTACTTAATGACTGTTGGGTTGTTGGGTTGTTGAGCTTTTTTGTTTTTTTTGGGTGTTGGTTTTGTCACTAAATACTAATTTTGCTAGTTGTTGCACTATGTAGGTATGTATGTATTCAATGTATTCATGTCTACTTACCCTTTCTTATTTGTACGATAAATATTATTTATACTCGCTGTTGAGATTTTGTATTTACTTTCAATCTGTAATTGAGAAATGAGAGAAAAATGATGTTTGTATTTGTTTTTGTTTCTTTCTTTTGCTTTTGATTTGTTGTATGTTAACTGCTAATTTGGTAAACATTGTAAATAATATTTTTTWAWTTTTTTTTTTACTTTTTACTACGAACAATGTTTGTGCTGTGTTTCTTACTAAACAACGAACAAAAACTCATTTTAACTAATTGCAAAATTTGTATTAAATGTTTTATTATTATATTATATAGAATAACTTTTGATATTTTATGTCTGGTGAAATAGAAACATTGCCAATTTCATTTGATTTCGCCCAGGCCAATTTTTTACAAATGCCGCCTAAAAGTAGACACTTTTTTGCTCTAATTTGAAGCRCTTATTATCATACAATACTAAATATTTTGAAGATACAGTTTTTTTAAAGCATACCTTTAAGGTAATTATGCAATTATTTGACATGCCAATTGTGAGCTTTTGCTACTATGAAAGCTTTTCGAAAAWATTTAACGTGCTAGCAAGAAACATTTGAATTTTATTGTATTTATGTACATTGTGTAATTTCATAGGCCAGATTTTAACGGTGTACTGTGTCAAGGTGTGAACATGTTTTGTGGAGTGTATGCGTGAGATGTCATATGTATGTATGCAATGAGTGATGGCATGAAAGCTATCAAGAAACTACTTCGTGAACTTCCGATGGAATTAAAGCATAATTCCAAGTTTCGAACTTTATTCAGCTTAGATGAAAAAAATTTTATGACGGGGTGACTCAAGTGCAAAAACAAAAAATAAATTCATTTAAAGATTTTTAAAATGATTTTTAATTTTATTTAA